ATAGATGTTCCTGTTTACCAGTATAAACACCAGTATATACAGAGATGTGGATGTGTGCATATCTACACACACACACAAATACACACACCCCAGTCTTCTCTGCTTGGGAAGCACCGTTAATGTCAACTTAATGATAATCTCGGCAAGACTCTAAGCAGTTGCCCATCTTCTCCATTTGAGTTCTCTTCAGAGACATTTCCTGACAAATGTTTTCTGATACAGAAGATAATAGATTGCATCGGATCGCGCCTGTGTATTTATTTCTTTCATTACATTTATTACAGCCTTCCATTCCGACACACTCTGAGTGGTTTTTAAGAGGAGGGAGAGAGAGAGCTGATAATTCTCTCTTTTTTAAAACCTCTCCTGAAGAGCAGCAATATTCTGCTTCCTTTTCTTAGTGTATCTTTCTGTTTTCCTCATATGAGACTGAGCTAAACACATCCCATAGTAATAAAAACATTCCTTAAGAGTGTTAAAGGATTCCCCTCCCGCCCCCTTGCCCCAAAGGTATCCTCAAAAACCCAACCAATTTCATTCCTTTCCAAAGCACGTCTTATAGATTTAAATTTAAATTAACGACTTATAGATTTAATTGATAACTCCTGACGGTGTCCTTATTTATCAGTAAGGTAGGTAGCTATCCATCCAGAAATTCTCCCAAATGAAATAAACTCCCAGTTTGAAAGAAAAATAGCCAGTTCGACAGATCCAGAGGACCCCAGACCCTTGTCAACCCTTCAGAAGGGATCAAGGTTGAAGCAATAGCCAACAGGAATGCGATAGTTAAGATCCTGGTTTTAAAAAAAAGGATGACCTGTGTAAGCTAATCAAATCACGTTACGAGTTGTCCTTGATTTGCAACTGTTCTCTTAGCGGCCATTCCAATTTCTAACAGCATTGAGAAAGTCTGTTTTTGCAGACTTACGACCAGTGTGAAGCATCCCCATGGGTCAGGTGATCCATATTCAGAGGCACAGCAACTGGCATGTACTTATGACGGTTGCAATGTGCTGGGGTCCACGTGATTTCCCTTCTGATAAGCAAAGTCCAGCTGGAGGCAAGATTCACTGAGCAGCCGTGTGATTAACTTAACAACTGCAGGGATTCACATTAGCAACAATCGCAAGAGAGGTCGTAAAATGGGGCAAAAACTCAAGTTCGCAACCGCCTTGCTTAGCAATGGAAATTTTGGGCCCAGCGGCGGTCTTAAGTCAAGGAGTAACCTGCATCTGCGAGTTGATCAGTTTCCCGACGACCCAAGATGTCAATGCTGCTAACATCGGATGTTTTTGCTTTGACAAAGATGGAAACCTTTTCTTCTTGTGTTTTACTCTTAGCTAGAGTTAAATGGTGCTGGGGGGGGGGAGGAATGTGCAGGAGAGTTTAGCTAGACAAAATAAAACTGAACCTAGCGTGAGAACCAAGGTTATTGAAATAAGAGATGATAAGAATTGGTGGGCTGGAGAACTGGAGGGAAAGCCTGCATTTCAAGCTAACTGGGGAATGTGATTTATGACTGTTAACTGGAGGAGGGAATTGTGCTTTGATACTATGTGCTCAGGGGAGGGGAATCCAGTTTTTGGCTTTGACTGTGTTAGTGCCCACGCTATGCTTCCCAAATAAAGATTCTTTAAGGTAAACAATACCTTGAAGTTCTTCTGAAGAGTTTCATCTGCCAGAACCATGACATTAAGCCAAAAACAGGACCATGACACAAGGACCTTTTGCAAGAATTTCCAAAGGAAAGAATTAAACGCAACCTTCTAGAAATAAGAATTATTACTAATTGTTAAAGAATTTTGTTTTTTTAGTGTCCCACTGAATTGTTAAGTTCGTCCATATCCAGGCTTTCGAGTTCTACCTTCTCCCTAACCAGGAACGGTCTTAAGCTATCTCTCCTTAGGCAGCTGCCTCCCATCAAGGAAAATCTCCAGAGTTTTGACTAATTTTAGAAGTTTATCTCAACTCGAGAACTTTTTCCCAGGGCTAAGCAGCCTCAGCTGAAGATGAGGTTAATAAATGATAGATGGGCTGATCTTTTCAAGACAGTATTGGACTAAGTGTCAGCTCCTGGCTAACTGCAATTAATGGCACGTTTCCTCGTAGCATCTATTTTCCTGGTGACTGGGCAACATACTCATCCTTTTTGTTTCCCCCACATATTTGGATTTCTGGAGCATTTAGCTTAATTGAAAAACAATTGCATACTTCATCATTACCCGTTTAATGGGCGGCTTTTCGTATTCTTTGTAAAAAAAAATACAGCAAGAAAAACATCTCTCTTCTTCTGCTTCTTTCCATATTTTCCTCTTCCTCCTCCTCCTCCTCCTAATAAAGATCAGCCATGTCTTATCCAGAACATCTTTTACATGTTTGGGGATTTTTTAACAAGCAAATGGAATGATGCATTAACCAGAGCTCTGTTCTTCAGTTTAATTTGATTAATACAGAGAGAAATTCTTTGCAGATGCAAAGGATTAGGTCGTTGAAAGCAAAGATACAAGGACTGGCGTAGAGGAAGCTGTTTTTAACTTTACGTTCACCAGGTAAAGTAATGGATATGGAGAGCGTTTCCCTCACCCCTTGAAGTATACAGGCTCCATATCTTCTGGGCTCCATGTTGAGCTGGAAAAGTTAAATGCCTTCTCAGAGCCCTAGAATTTCCCTCATAAGCCACTTTCATTCAGTGGTTAAGGCACCAGGCTAGAAAGCAGGAGATGGTGACTTCTAGTCCCATCTTAGCCATGAAAGCCAGCTGGGTGACTTTGGGCCAATTATCAGGAGACTGGGAGTTCTAGTACTGCCTTAGACATTAAAGCCAGATGGGTGTCTTTGGACCAATCACCAGGAGACTGAAAGTTCTAGTTCCACCTGAGGCAGGAAAGCCAGCTGGGTGACTTTAGGCCAATCACCAGGAGGTGGTGAGCTCTAGTCCTGTCTTAGCCATGAAAGTCTGGGTGATTTGGGCCAATCACCAGAAGACTGGGAGTTCTAGTTCCTTTTTAGGCATGAAAGCCAGGTGGGTGACTTTGGGCCAATCACCAGGAGATGGTGAGTTCTAGTCCCGCCTTAGCCATGAAAGCCAGATGGGTGACTTTGGGCCAATCACCAGAAGACAGTGAGTTCTAGTCCCACCTTGGGTATAAAAGCCAACTGGGTGACTTTGGGCCAATCACCAGGAGATGATGAGTTCTAGTCCCGCCTTAGCCATGAAAGCCAGATGAGTGACTTTGGGCCAATCACCAGGAGACGGTGAGTTCTAGTCCCGCCTTAGCCATGAAAGCCAGACGGGTGACTTTGGGCCAATCACCAGGAGACTGGGAGTTCTAGTCCCACCTTAGGTATAAAAGCCAGCTGGGTGACTTTGGGCCAATATCTTTCTCTCTCTCTCTCAGGCCAACCAATCTTACAGGGTTGATTGTTGTGGTTGAAAATAGGAAGAGGAAGATGTGTTGGAGACACCACCTGGAGTTGTTCCTAAAATAAAGGCAGGATACAAATTAAATGGAATAAATAAACACGACTATCGGTCACCCAGTTCTTCCCTTTCCATCACTGGGGCTTTCGATTGCTGATACATCAATTTTCAAGGGTCTGCTCTCCCTGCAGAGAAGAAACTCATTTTTATTTTTTTATTTTTTTGGGGTCTTCTTGGCAACTCAGCGCAAATCTAGTTCAGATTATAGCTTCGCAGAAAATGAGATGGCGGAGGGCCAGGGACTAATTATATTAAAGGAATGTGCGCATCAATTATTTATGGGCTGGCCATGTTTATCCCCACGTTATTAAAGCCAGAGGCTCTCCTTCGGCAAATAAGACTTTAGCCCAGATAGATGTGACAGCGGCTTTGCAGTTGGTTGTGTGCCGGCGAGGAGTTTTAGGAAGGCCACACTTGGAATCCTGCATCCAGTTTTGGTCACCACAAGGTAGAAAAGATGTTGAGACTCTAGAAAGAGTGCAGAGAAGAGCAACAAAGTATGATTAGGGGACTGGAGGCTAAAACATATAAGGAAAGGTTGCTGGAATTGGGGATGTCTAGTTTAACGAAGAGAAGGATGAGGGGGGACATGATAGCAGTCTTCTAGTATCTCAGGGGCTGCCCCAAAGAAGAGGGAGTCAAGCTATTTTCCAAAGCACCTGAAGGCAGGACAAGAAGCAATGGATGGAAACTAATCAAGGAGAGAAGCAACCTGGAACTAAGGAGAAACTTTACCTTTTACTGTGTTTTTAATTTTTAATTTAGGTGGAACATTTTTATACTGTATATTGTAAGTCCATGCATGGGATAAGAGAGGGAGGGGCACGATGGCTCAGCGGTTAAAGACGCTAGGGCTTGCCAGCTGGAGAGCTGACAACCCGGGTTTGAGACCCGAGCACTGTGAGACCGGGCGAGCTCCAGTTCCTTGGCTCAGCTCCTCCAACTTAGCAGTTAGGAAAGCATGCAAATGCGAGTAGATAAATAGGTACCACTTTGGTGGGAAGGTAACAGCGGTTCGTGCACCTTTGGCGTATGGCCGTGAGGGCCACATGACCATGGAAAATGTCTTCGGACATGGCTGGCTCCCTCGGCCAAGAAACAGATGAGAACCGCACCCTAGGGTCGTACACAACTGGACAGGGAAATCTTTTACTTATTCGTGTTATGCTGTACGGCAGGGGTCCTCAACGTTGGCCACTTTAAGACTTGTGGACTTCAACTCCCAGAATTCCTCAGCCAGTACGGCAGGGGTCCTCAACCTGAGGAATTCTGGGAGTTGGAGTCCACAAGTCTTAAAGTGGCCAAGGTTGTGGACCCCTGCTGTACTGGTTGAGGAATTCTGGGAGTTGGAGTCCACAAGTCTTAAAGTGGCCAAGGTTGTGGACTCCTGCTATACTGGTTGAAGAATTCTGGGAGTTGGAGTCCACAAGTCTTAAAGTGGCCAAGGTTGTGGACCCCTGCCATACTGGCTAAATAAATCAACCCTCTATAATTATCAACATCCCTTCTTGTTTTGTAGCAACTGTTGAAAATCCAAGAAGAATTAAATAACAAGAAGTTGGAACTTGAACAAGCAAAAGAAGAACATTCCCATACGCAGGCCTTGCTGAAGATCCTACAGGAACAGGTGAGTAGCTTGTCGGGTACAAGGTTGGTCCTCTCAGTTTGAATAGCTCTCTATAGGTCTCTTAAGCAGCCAGATTTGCCCTAAAGTGTAAACTGAATGGAGAAGCGTCAACAGTGTGTGACTCCAGGAGTCCCTAAGTAAGTAAGTTGAACAGCTTGCCTCCCAAAATTGTGAATGCACCAACACTGGAATTTATTAAGATGAGACTGGACAACCGGTTGTCTGAAATGGCATAGGCATTGTAGACAGGACCTCAGAGTTAAGTCTGCCATCATTGTAGTCAGAGTCATTTCAGCTGAAGCTGATAAAAGCTTGGTAATTCTGTCGTCTAATTGACGTTAATTCATTGCTGATTATCAAGAGATTAAGTAGCTGCTGGAATTAAGGAAAGGATTGGGTTTGGTAACTTGCTATTATAAAACCGTAGCATGCTAACAAGGACAGTTGAGGCCAAGCTCCGTGGCTCAGTTTCCCTGATACAGAAGGATAACTATAATGTGGGCAAAGCCTCAGGCTGAGAAATCAGTTTTTTAACATTATTTTAATAATGTTTTTAGAGATTTATTGTTTTGGTTTTGTTGTATGCTGCCAGAGTCACTTGCTTGTGAGAAGGCAGGTCTATAAATTGGATAGATAGATGATAAATTAGATAGATGATAGATAGATAGATAGATAGATAGATAGATAGATAGATAGATAGATAGATGCATAAGATGTAGAGGGATAGATAGATGATAGACAGACAGATAGATAGATAGATAGATAGATAGATAGATAGATAGATAGATAGATAGATAGATAGATAGATAGATAATGGAGAGAGAGATTTAGTAGATAGGGGAGGGATGGATGGATGGATGGATGGATGGATGGATGGAGAGACAGAGAGATGAGAGAGGGAATGAGACAGACAATAGATAGATAATGGAGAGAGATAATAGATAATGGAAGGATGGATAGATGGATGGATGGAGAGACAGAGATAGAGAGAGAGACACACACAGATGATAGATTATGGAGAGAGATCATAGGTAGATAATAGATAATGGAAGGATGGATGGATGGAAAGATGGATAGATGGATGGATGGATGGATGGATGGAGAGAGAGAGAGAGATAATGTCTCTTTTTAATTTAAGAATATTTACTGGTGGACAATTAGTTTTGCATATGGTAACTGCAGCAATATTATCATACACACAAAAATGAAAGAATGCACAAATATCCACAGTGGGGCAATAAACAGTGAAGATGGCTGACTTTGCAGAAAGGACAACATCGGTTTGTTTGCTTACAGAGGGAACCACAATTGCTTTTATAAAAAACTGGATTCTCTTCAAGGACGCCCCCCCCCTTTTTTTTTTGTTGCTGAAAACGGACAAAGGGAATTGGTGATTTTGGGATTTACAGATGAAGGGTGGTTTATGGGAAGACGGGAAACCATGCTATGTAATTCGCAGGGGTGAACATTGCAATCATTAGGCTTGTGAGCGTTCCTGGAGTTATTTTTCTTTCTTTTCCCCCCCTTTTCTTAGTCTTTTTTCTGTCCTTCGCTTTTCCTTTCATTCTTCCATATCTTTTTTTCTTTTCGTGTTTCAGTAGTCTTTCAATTCTGCGTCAAATCCTTCTTTAATAAAATTGTGCGATTCGAGACCGTTTAATTGAACGTTTGATCTCTTAATGGAGTTCTCCACATCTATAGAATAGTCATTTTCAAACATTTGTGCATTGTCGGAATAAGCAATTAGGAAGAAATAAAAGGAACAAAGAGCTGGAATTGGGTGCGAAAGGCCTGTATTTATTAGCATTGTACCAGCGTGATGCTGTTTATTTCGACGTCTCATTATTCTCTATCTTTCCCGCCTTTCTTTTTTCCTGCAAACACAAAAACACCCATGACAAAGTCAATCTCTGCTCCCCCCGACACTACCTACGCACACACATACACACAAAACACACACACACACAAACACACAAAGACAGAAGGCAGAGAAAGAAATAGATGGATGGAATTCTTTTAAGTGTTCTGATTCTGATTTTGAAACCCGTTAATTGAAGGTACACTGTATTTTTGTAACTGTTAGCTGCTGGGAATCTAGCATTCTTATTTATCATTTTATACACTGAATAAATGAAGTTTTTTTTCCCCTCTCCCTGCTCTGCTCAAAGCAGATTCCAATTTGCAGGTGGAGAGGTAAAGCAGATAATATGAAAAAATAAGCCTGTGATTCTTTCCCGATTCTTTCTGTTCTCTGCTGAACAAAGTTACACAGTATGGTGTTGCCTCATTTCCTCAGTGATATTTAAAAAAATAATAATAATCTTTTTTGCAAGGCCCGGCAAATAGTTCTTTTCTTCTCTTTTCCCTGGAGTAAAGCATCTTTTGGGGGATAGTATCTAAAGGTTTACCCACGGAGGATCTGCTCGGCATGTTCAACCACACATAATAAGGATTTGTCTCTCCTAGAAGAATCTCTGGGTTTAGTTAATGAAAAAATCCCGGTTGTTTTGATGTGAGGGAGAAATGCCATTGCAAATCCTGGGGATTTACATTTTAAGTAAATCTACGTAGGTTTAGCTGCCTTCCCATAATCAGGAATTCTTCTGGGAAGTTCTCAATCCTGCAAAATTCTCATTTGCTTTTAGGTAAATCTGCTCCAGACAACAAAAATTATCTATCTATCCATCCATCCATCTATCCATTATCTATCTATCTATCTATCTATCTATCTATCTATCTATCTATCTATCTATCCATCCACCCACCCATCCATCCATCCATTTATCTATCCATTTATCCATCCACTTATCCATCTGTCTGTCCATCCACTATCTATCTGTCTGTCTGTCTGTCTGTCTATCTATCTATCTATCTATCTATCTATCTATCCATCCATCCATTATCTATCCATCTATCCATTATCTATCTATCTATCTATCTATCCATCCATCCATCCATCTATCCATTTATCCATCCACTTATCCATCTGTCCATCCATCCATCTACCATCCATCCATCCATGCATGCATCTATCTATCTATCTATCTATCTATCTATCCATCCATCCATCTATCCATCCATCTATCCATCCACTTATCCATCTGTCCATCCATCCATCCACTATCTATCTATCTATCTATCTATCTATCTATCTATCTATCTATCTATCTATCTATCTATCTATCTATCTTACCTATCTATCCATCCATCCATCTATCCATTTATCCATCCTCTTATCCATCTGTCCATCCATCTATCCATCTATCCATCTGTCCATCCATCCATCTACCTACCTACCTACCTACCTATCATCTATCTTTCTTACAATGTCCATGTCTTCTCCATGACATAGTTACAAACACAAGAACAGCATCATATCATACATTTGAACGTGTACTTACAGTCTGCCTGCAGTTGTTTACAGATTTAAAATAAGAAAATAGTTGGAAAGGTACCTGCAGAAATTTGGGCATCCTTCTAGTTGATTCAGTAGATCAGTCCTAAAAAAAACCATCCCCATAAAGTTGTTAATAAGGCCCCAAAGACAGTGTCTCCAATGGCCGCCAGGTAATCGTCCCAGGGGTAAACACCCGGAGCTTACCTTTCTCATCTCTCAGGCTGCGATAATTGTTCGGTCTCTTTTCAACCAGGGTGGCCTCTTCTAAACAGCTGTCTCAGCCTTTGAAGTGGGAAATAATTCACCCTTACAAAGCAGATAAAGGTGATAAAACATCTATAAGTGCTTCCACCTAGCAATTTCAGTCTTAAGAACCATTGTTAAGAAATGGAAGCTTAGAACTGTTGGACTCAAGGGGAGGAAATCTAGAAGACATATTAAAAAAAAAAAAAAAACCTCTCTACTACAGCTGGCTGAAAATTGGTCAGAAGTGTAAAAAATAGAATTTACAACAAGGATCAGCCTAGGATGGTTATCCCATGTAACTCTCTTCTCTGATCTTCCTGGAAGAATTTTTGTCTACGGAAGTTGTAAGAAAACTTTGATAAATAAACCTAAAACTTTTTTCTAACAAAATAATAATTAATAATAATAATAATAATAATAATAATAATAATAATAATAATAATAATAATAATAATGATCTCAAAACAACTGGAGCACCACTTGAACACCATTGGCATTGACAAATTCGCTATTAGTCAATTGCAAAAGGCGGCCTTACTAGGAACTGCTTCCATCCTGCGACGATACCTGTAATACCATCAAACATCCACATCTGCCTATCCCAGGTCCTGGGTAAGGACTCGATAGGTAGACAAAATGCCAAATCCAGTCTGAACACCTGGCTGACTGTGCGATGATCCATAACAACAATAACAACAACAACAACAACAACAACAACAACAATAATAATAAAGTTGGAAGGGACCTTGGAGGTCATCTAGTCCAATGATTTGGAACAATGAAACAAACATTCTACAGTTTAGCCAAAACCACACAAGACACATGGGGTGACATGATAGCAGTCTTCCAATATCTCAGGGGCTGCCCCAAAGAAGAGGGAGTCAAGCTATTCTCCAAAGCGCCTGAAGGCAGGACAAGAAGCAACGGATGGAAACTCATCAAGGAGAGAAGCCACCTAGAACTAAGGAGAAACTTCCTGACAGTGAGGACAATTAACCAGCGGAACCACCTGCCTCCAGAAGTTATGAATGATCCAACCCTGGAAGTTTTTAAGAAGTGACTGGACAACCATTTGTCTGAAATGGTATAGGGTTTCCTGCCTGAGCAGGGGGTTGGATAGATGACCTCCAAGGTCCTTTCCTCCCAAAAAAGAGATAGTTCTGTTCTGTTACAACACAGCCAGATCACCTGCCTTAGCATTTTGGGGCAATAGCCAACCAATCAATCAGAATAGAGTTGGAAGGGACCTTGCAGGTCCTCTAGTCCAACCCCCTGCTCAAGCAGGAGATCTTAGGGCAGAGGTATTCAAACTTGGCCCCTTTATGACTTGTGGACTTCAACTCCCAGAATTCCTCAGCCAGCCTCCATTTTGTTTGTTAGATTTAAGACAGGGCTCTTCAAACTTGGCCCTTTGATGACTTGTGGACTTCAACTCCCAGAATTCCTCAGCCAGCCTCCATTTTGTTTGTTAGATTTAAGACAGGGCTCTTCAAACTTGGCCCTTTGATGACTTGTGGACTTCAACTCCAATTCTGGGAGTTGAAGCCCACAAGTCATCAAAGGGCCAGGTTTGAAGACCCCTGCCCTACTAGACCATTTCAGATAGATGGCTGGGTGGTCTTTTCTTAAAAACCTCCAGTGAATGAAGCACCCACAATTTCTGAAGGCAACCTGACATTTCATTTTTTTTTCCCCACCTAAGAATATTTCTCTTTCTTTTTTTTCCTAATGGCCTTCAGCAGTCCCTGATGTGGAGAAGACATTTGGGCGTCAATGAGACGGAGGCCACAAAATGAACGGCTTTATCTTCCCGACAGGTTCCTGAGCAGAAAAACCCATCAGAAATGCTCAAAACTCGTAACTCAGAAGCAATTATTAGCTGCCTGCTATTTAGCTAGCAGCAACGTCTGCAACCACTGCAAAATTCCAAATTAATAGCAGCCAAACGGGAAATGAAAGCATTTATTACTCTTGAAAGCCAATTTTGCACCCTTCTTATGCCTTCAGACTGCTTCCTAATCTTATTATTTTTTAAAAAAGTAACGATCCAGTCTTGGCGTCGGCTTCCTTTTATTTTATTTTATCATCATCATCATCATCATCATCATCATCATTATTATTATTTAAGCCAACCTATCAGATCTTAACTAGGTTGCTTCCTAACTAGTTTCGGCAAAGAGCTCATTTGTTCATTGGAAGCCTTGCCTGGTTATAAATCAACAATAATTGTGTGAAACACCACTAATCGTGATTGGTTTTTTTTTCTCTCTCTCTCTCTCTTTCTTCCGCAGTTAAAAAAAAATGCCAAGGAGTTAGAGACGAACGGGCACGACGAATCTCAGGCAAAAGTAGGTGCAACTTTTGGATTTGTGTTTTCGGCTTGCACTTCGAAAAAAAATCAAAGCTGGCTTTTAATGGATTAATGGTCCTACAAAGAGTAACCTTTTGTGAAACCGAAGGGGTGGTTATTTCAAGATAAATGATTTTTAGTTTTTTAATTTGCCTTGCCAGAATTAACAGGAAACGGCTGGCTTGCCTTGCGACATTTATCGTGGCAAAGGTGTTTTTTGTTTAATATTTCTCATTTGCTGAAACATTTATATACCTGGGACAGAGAAATAGGCATAACCCAGTTGGTGTAGATGTCCAGCTTTCGGTGCTGAATTTTCAGAAGCCGGTGAGGTTGGCGGCTCTCATTTCAAAAAGGTTCAGCATGCTTAGACCTCATGTGAAGACCCCAATCTTCCAGTTACATTTGGCTTTTCTTTGATTGATGTTCAGACTGAAGCAATTATTGGCAGCATGCAGAGTCCTTTCCGGGGCCACTGATAATACAGGTAGTCCTCGACTTAATGGCCACAATTCTAAAATTGTGAATAGAATAGAATAGAATAGAATAGAATAGAATAGAATAGAATAGAATATGGAATGGAATAGAATAGAAAAGAATAGAACGCAAAATGGATAGGATAGGATAGGATAGGATAGGATAGGATAGGATAGAAATATAGGATAGAATAGAATAGAATAGAATAGAATAGAATAGAATAGAATAGAATAGAATATGGAATGGAATGGAATAGAATAGAATAGAATAGAATAGAATAGAATAGAATAGAATAGAATAGAATAGAATAGAATAGAATAGAATAGAATAGAACACAAAATGGAATGGAATGGAATAGGATAGGATAGGATAGGATAGAAATATAGGATAGGATAGAATAGAATAGAATAGAATAGAATAGAATAGAATAGAATAGAATAGAATAGAATAGAATAGAATAGAATAGAATGCAAAATGGAATGGAATAGGATAGGATAGGATAGGATAGGATAGGATAGGATAGGATAGGATAGGATAGGATAGGATAGGATAGGATAGAAATATAGAATAGAATAGAATAGAATAGAATAGAATGGAATGGAATGGAATGGAATGGAATGGGATAGGATAGGATAGAATAGAATAGAATAGAATAGAATAGAATAGAATAGAATAGAATAGAATAGAATAGAATAGAATAGAATAGAATAGAATAGAATAGAGTGGACGGACAGATGAGAGGCCTGTCAAGTGTGCAACACGGCAAATGCTTCTTTAAAATGCTGGATATTAATACGTCGGGGCGACTCGTCGGAGAAATGTGAATTACGGAATTACATACGTTAATAAGGGAAGTTGACAATCTTTTCTCCCCCGAGGTTCCCGGCTGAGTGTTTGCAGATCAAAATGTCTGGCGAGGAAAGGATTGCTCAGTTTCCCGCACGGTTATTAGTGGTCTGTAATGCATTTAATGGGATTAGTACCTATTTGATACAGTTGACAAACTGGATTTAGCAAATACCCTCGTAGCCAGAGCAAGATCTGGTCTGCAAAGGAAGGGCAGAGATGTTCCTTCCACGATTTGGAAAATCTTTGGGAGGTTATTTTAAATTGGAATAAGAAAGCAGATTCTGACAGCTATCTCCCTCTCTCTCTCTTTCTCTCTCTCTCTCGCCTTCTTTCTCTCTTTCTCTCCCTCTCTCTCTCCCTCTCTCTTTCTCTCTTTTTCTCTTTCTCCCTCTCTCTTTCTCTCCTCTTCCTCTCTCTCCCTCTCTTCTTCTCTCTCTCTTCCTCTTTCTCTCTCTCTCTTTCTATCCCTCTCTTTCTCTCTCTCCCTTTCTATCTCTTCCTCTCTCTCCCTCTCTCTCTCTCCCTTTCTCTCTTTCTCTTCCTCTCTTCTCTCTCTCTTCCTCTTCCTCTTTCTCTCTCTCTCTTTCTATCTCTCTCTTTCTCTCTCTCCCTTTCTATCTCTTCCTCTCTCTCCCTCTCTCTCTCTCCCTTTCTCTCTTTCTCTCCCTCTCTTCTCTCTCTCTTCCTCTTCCTCTTTCTCTCTCTCTCTTTCTATCTCTCTCTTTCTCTCTCTCCCTTTCTATCTCTTCCTCTCTCTTCCTCCCTTTCTCTCTTTCTTTCTATTTCTCTTTCTCTCTTCTCTCTCCCCCTCTCTCTTTTTTTCTTTCTCTCCTCTCTTTCTCTCCTCTTCCTCTCTCTCCCTTTCTCTCTCTCTCTCTTCTCTCTCTCTTCCTCTTCCTCCCTTTCTCTCTCTCTTTCTATCCCTCTCTTTCTCTGTCTCTTTCTCTGTCTCTCTCTTTCCCTTTCTCTCTATCTCTTCCTCTCTCTTCCTCTCTCTCTCTCTTTCTATTTCTCTCTCCCTCTCTCTCCCTCCCTCCCTCCCTCTCTCTCTCTCTCTCTCTCTCTCCCAAGTTTGAAAACCCCTGGTTTATTTGATTGCTCGTTATGGCCAGGGGGAGAATTATTGTTTTTATATTGAGTTTTTTAAAATTTTTATAAGCTGATTGTGAGTGGGCAGCCAAATAAATTCTCTAAATAAATTAAAAATGCCACAAGGGAGATAAGTAACCACCAACCGGCCCTAGGAGTAGTAGAACCTCCATAAAAGAATAGTTAATTCTCCTACAGTCCTCGGGTTACAACAATTCATTTAGTGACTGTTCAAAGATAATGACGACACTGAAAAAAGTAACCGATGATCGCTTTTCACACTTACGACCGTTGCAGCGTCCTCATGGTCACGTGGTCAAAATTCAGAGGCCAGGCAACTGACATGTACTTATGACTGTTGTAGTGATCCCCTTTTGTGACCTTCTGACAAGCAAAGTTAATGAGGAACCCTGGATTCATTGAACAATTGTGTTTCTAATTTAACAACTACAATGATTCGCTTATTAACCGTTGGAAGAGACGTCGTAAAAGGGGCAAAATTTGCTTAACGAAGGTCTCGCTTAGCAAGAGTTTGCGCTCAACTGTGGTCGTAACGCGAGGACTTTCTGCATTTGATTTTTTCTTTCTTTCAGAATGTGGGGGTCCTTCCTAGATTGTCACCCTACACGACTGCTTAGTTCACTTGGGTCACACACACACCCTTATCTGAGATATTTCCTTTTTCTGTTATTTAAAGTTGCTCTGGGAAGCTCCAATAGGTTTTTCTTTTCATTTTCTTCCTGTAGAATAAATATTTCATACTCCAGTTGTTTTCTTTTCCAATCACTTTGACATCTGTAGTTGTTTATTAAAGGGTTTCCATGGTGCTGGCCTGGAAAATGAGATACAAGGATGAAATGCCAAAGGAAAAACAATCTTCGAATAATAATAATACGGGGAAGGAAATTGAAAATATTTTAATCTGTCTTGAGCACCGCTCAGCTGTGCTAGAATGTAGATAAGCTGTAATGAAAAGCCCCTGTGATATTAAATAGTCTCTAGAACAGTGGTGCTCAAGCTTTTTAATGCCGCGACCCCCAACCAGTCGTAAGTCGAGGACTACTCAACCGGTCGTAAGTCGAGGACTACTCAACTGGTGCAGCACTGTTTGCAGAATGGGACTTTTGGAGGGCTCAGCAGGGCAGAGACAGCCTGGACAATTCCTATTGGCTTTTGAAAGCCAATAGAATTAGACTCTATTCAAGAGAATCTATTCTATTGGCTTTCAAAAGCCAATAGAATGGACTTCCGGTGGATTTTGCGCGCGCGATGGCGGCTACTTTGTAGCCGTCTCTCCTGGGTAAGTGTAAGAACCGCTATGAACAGCAGACATCAGCTGTTCAGCCGTTCAAAATCCCCCTCCCGGGCAAAGGGGGGGGTAGAGAGTGTCTGAATAGTGGTAGAGCCTCTTTTGCACCCCCCAAATTTTTTTGGGGGGGGGTGAAAGGAGTGCTCCCACGGAGTTCAGACTTGTCTCCGCTTCCCAGCTGTTTTTGTCCTCAGAGACAAAACGAGCCGCTGCAAACACCTCCGTGCTTAAAGAGAACTGGTGAGTTTTTTTTATAAACGGACAGAGCTGAGTAGAGGATTTAGTTTTTCCTTTCTTTGATTTATTTGGATTTTAAGTTTTAAGATTTGCTTTTATTTTTATTCTCTCTTTTTATTTTTTTTTCTTTGTTGAAAGGGAAAGTAAAATGGCGATCGGCAAATCTCTCGGTGTTTTTTTTTCTGAAGTTAGAATGCTGACCGGCAGACTTTTTGGTGTTTCTCTTTCTTTCCTTTCTCTTTCCCTTTTTATTTTCTTATGATTGGAATGGTTGTTTTTGGTATCTCTAAGTATTTTTTTTGGAACGGACTTTTTCTATTTAATTATTTTTTTTTCTCCCTTCTTTTTATTGTAATGACCCTTTTTTGAAGGACTTTTTTCTGTTTAATTTTTTGCAATTTTTAAGAAGGAGTAAAGCTTTTTTTTAATTCTTTTTCTCTTCCTTTTTTTTTTCTTTTTCCCTTTTTTCTTTTTATTATAATGACCTTCTTTGGAGGGAGTTATGATTTTTGAAGGACTTTTTATAATTTTTTAAGAAGGGCTAAAGGTTTTTCTTTAAGATGGCTCCAAAGCGTCCAGGGATTTCTACAGCTTCTAAATCAACAGTTTCACCCTCTTCTGGGGGTCAGCTAATAACTATGAAGGATTTGCAAAACATGATGGGAGATGTTATAATTCAAATTAGGGCAGAAATGAAAAAGATTTTAGAGGAAAATAATAAGATCTTGAGACAAGATTTTGTTTTGGCTTTAGAAGGAGTTGCTTCTGTTCTTGAAAAGGTGAACTCCCATGTGGAAGAGGTAGCTGAAAAAGTGGACATAATGGAGGGGAAAATTGAAAGTATGGAAAAAGAAATGGAAAATGAGATTCTTATGCTTCAATATGGACAAATGGAATATGCCTTAAGAATCAGAGGCCTGGAAGAGTCTTTGCAAGGAGATTTGAAAGAGATGGTTGCAAAGGACTTTGCATTGATTTTGAATAAAGAAAAAGAGGGAATACTTAGTGAAATTGAAAAATTATTTAGGGTTAACTCT